TTCGTGAGACAGTGTCTTCTGTGACAGTGTCTTGTATGAAAGTTTCTTCTATGGCAGTATTTTGTAAGACAGTGCCTTGTATTTCAGTATTAAATGCTTCATGATAGTTCTTGAAAATTACCCAACATATGTTTAATGATATTTGATGGTGGTTCTTTTGTCGAGTGACCGTTATTTTGAAGTCGTTTCAAATCCTTGAACATAGCGAAGAAAATTGTGCCCAAAATCTACGTCATTCTCTCTTGCCACAAAAATTCATCCAATTTGGCAACAAAAGTCAAAAGAAATATTCCTGAAAGAAGCCAGGTTGAAGAAAATGACAATAAAGATCCTATTTCGCTCAAATGCTGTGCGACCTGTTTCCCATAAACGTTTAAACCATCTTGCTATCACAATAGACTCATTACTATGATCTAGTCTGGAGGTCGAATTTTGCCTCTATGCACGTCAGAGAATGGACGATTAGGAGGCTCACGAGGTAGCATCTTTGTTTCTTCAATTTCCATAAAAGAATTTAGACATTAAGCTTGTTTTGCAAACGACATATTAATGAGAAATCGATAGGATCTTGCTGAGATAAAATGTTTTGCTTTATTTAAATACTGTATATCTCAAAATGCGATAAACAAACCATCAAAAGGCAAACAGTTAGATATCGGAGATATATGCTTTATTCTTCTACTGAGTTAGATTATCATTAGCTGCGATTTTCCGGAAAAATAAGATAGTAGAATTTCTTTCTAGCCTTCCTCATTCGACGATTTAAAGTCAAGGCTGAAAGACAAAATTTCAATGCAGTATTCAGGTTGATTGATAGCTTTGTGTATAGTTGACGACTCGGGTTCCTTTTATTGAGTGATTAAACACTCTCGTTTAAAGTTTTTAAGAGAAAATGTTGATTTTATTGATCCATTTTGCCAGTGACCTAGCATGGATAATGCTCAGTGTCGTGTTAATGAATGGAGCATCATAAATAGAAAATAAACTTATTATGTAGGCTTCCTCGTCAGTCTTCGTATTGTCAAAATCTCACGCCATTCCAGGGCTCGCTATCGTAAAGATATCTATTATGATATAGCATCTGAATAGTGAAGGCAAATCATTGCAAAAGTGGTGCAGCTGGTTTGAATTAAAATCCTACATTCTGATGTTCATACATAAAATTTGTCCTGGTTTTCACCTGTTTAATTAGTATTTGACTTGACATCATTTTTTGTTCCGTGCTAACGATGTTTCTACGTCAGGACACTCTCTATGGTCGAAGAGTGTTGATAGTCTACAATGAAAAACAGTAAGAGACATGAAGCAAAGACAAGTGAAAAGTGCGTGAGATATCTTCTGAAATCTGCCATCTACCGTTATCTTTCTCTTCATTTCTGCCATTTCATTTCTTTATACACCTTTTATGAAATGAAAACATTTAACATGCTCTGATGCCATCTGGCAGAATGTTTTTTATACCAAACGTCTTTCAGTACAAGAATGTTTCATAATTTGCAGAAAAGAGCAAAGTGCTTGGTACTTTAGGTTTCGTCATTTTCCTCTGATATACCCTTTAAACTGACTTTTTCTGCATTTCACATAACAGCCAAAAAACTTTTTAGTGGCGTCTTGGTATCTCTTATATCCAGATCAAGAATACAGCTTATATATTTTATAAAAGGTGACAGAAAACAGCTTTAATGTTGTTTACGTCTCTGTGTGCTATGTCATTGTCTCATTCAATCTTTAGAATTTTCTCTCGTGAAAATGTACCCTTGAAACCATATTTCCACTGAAATGGAACAATAATTTTACATCGATTTGAATGGTACCTATCGATGTTTTTTAGATATCTTATTAGGAATAGTTGAGCAATAACTTGGTAAAGCTGTCTTATTACTATAGTTTATGTTGAAGTCTTTACAACAAACAGTTGCGTATCAGTGAAATTCTTTCACAAGAAGTTGTAGCGAAAAGTATCTTAAAGGCCACACAAAATGGTAGGCAGTATGAAATACTAAAAAAGTTTAACCACAAATTGTCGTATTTCAGTGAATTTTAATCACGAGATGTTGTTGTGTAAAAGTAATCTAGAGGTTCAAGGCCCAAGAAATGGTAGGCAGTTGGAAATGAGTGACTTTTAATCTCTAGAAGATATATCGTAATATTTTAAAGTTTCAAGGCCTCACAAAACGTTGTGCAGTAAACAAATACTGGAAACTTCTCTACAAGGAGTGCAATTCATTTTACAAAAAAGAAGCTGTTTATAGTATTTTGAAAGTTCAGACTACATGAAACGTTTTACAGAAATAGAGACAGTAATTTTCTAGTATGATAAGACGTTATATTGTATTTGGCTAATGGTTAAAGTTTATGTGCGGCCTTGCACTCTTATCAATTAACGTGTACTTGATTCCTGGAAAAGATACATAAGATACCCACAATCCAGATTACCATTATCACAATGTTGACACGTTTAATATCATTAGCAAGCCTGATGTATCGTCTGGGCGGCTGTGTGATTCAAATTTGTTGGAAGGGATCCACATCAAAATCAGCCGAATTGTATTGGGCATATCACGAGCTCGTAAAAGTCAACTTTGTGACAACAGTTGTTTTATAAATGTTTGTATATATAGAAATGACTTTAAAAGATTACTCAAAGTCGTTGGAAATCAACCTTCCGTAGTGAAGAAGTAACAAGCTTAGAAAAGATGACCTGTTTCGCTCTTGTGATTCATAAATGGATTAATGCTACTTACCAACTTGAACTCTTTAGACTTTGATCCATCGAGTTTCTGCCTTGGTTTGAAACGAAAATTTAAGCAGAAAAGGCTGTTTTGTTTCCTCTTTAAAATGCAAAGAACTCATTTTTTAGATTTTTAGTTTCATCATTTGAATAAGTTTACGTCATTTCATTTAAAAAACTTTCTTTCAAACAATTTTCCCTCTTCGAAGTTGACAAGAAGGAACAAAGCAAGTCAAAAGTATATAGATTAAACTTCACGTCATCAAAATTGATATTGTTTCTTTAATATCATGGAGAACATTGTTTTGATATTTGGAATCTCGTCATGATGTGGCATTCCTTTGTTCTTTAAGAAAAACTGCCCCTTAGCGTAAGTTGACTCTTAGAGGTGTATTCAATCACGTATTTGATAATACCACGAGCCTACCTGAATAGATATATGATAAGTGAACATAGAGCTGGATTTTTTATGTTAATTTTTAGGGACATTTTCAAGTAATGTGCATTAGAATTCAAAAGAAAATTTGCCGATGAAATTTTTTTGTGGAATGGGGTGAAGGGAAAGGGAATGTAAGGTGCCAATTTTTGAGTGGTTTGGAGTGCTAGAACACTTACCGTTTAGTGTTTTTTATAGAGAATTCAGGAACCCTAAAATTGAAATTGATTTCTTGTCAGTTCTTTCATGTTTGAACATCTTCCATTTACATTCCAACCACACCAATAAGTAATTTCTATGTAGAATTCTTAAGGAAGAATTCTTATGTGTTTTCTGTCTTTGCTTCTGTGTTTTAAACGTGTACATAGCTTTGAGTCAGCAGGAAGAGAAATTTTTGAGATATCTTCTAAAACAATTGCATTGTGGCTTTCGAAGCATTTACATGTGTCCCCTTAATGATATCTACGATTGTTATGTAGTCCACATAAATGCCTTGATTGTCAGTTAAATTTTACATCTGTTTGAAAACAATCTTTGCATAGTAAAGAATATAAAAATGGCTTTGAGAAATACAAGCATTTTGAAACATGTTACTAAAGCTTTTCGCTTGACATTTTAGGCATTGACTGGCAAGCAGCACTGATCAGGCAACCTTAACAACTGTGTGCTCGCGTTTCTGACTGGCCTATTTCGATCCACAACTGGGTACATATATTTCCTAGCGTAGCGTTTTCGATCTATGTTTTGACGCTTTATACTATGAAGGGTGTCAGAAAGCTTTAGTAACATGTCTCAAAATTTTTAAATTTTTAAAAGCCTTTTTTTCTTTTCCAAACATCTAGCTATCGATTTCTTAATAGCTTACTCAAAGAGCATACAGTTCATACCCCGAGATTTTAATGTAAAAACCTAATAGGCTTCCTGTAGGTTTTAAGACAACATATCTATAATAAAAACTTGTATTTATAATGTCAATATCAAAGATAATCGCTTAATAGCATATCTATTTTTCCTTATGTTAACACATAAATCTCTAACTTTATTTAGTACTTCCAGTGCTAATTTCGTAATTTTTTTACCTAAAAAATCCTGAATGTGTATATTTCGTTCCCGCCCTGATCTATAGCAATTTCAAAACATCTTTCTTGCCAAGATTAAAGTCCCCGCCTACTTTGCCGGATCTCCATGTTGATTTGTCTTCACAACACGTAATTTCCAAGAATTAAAGTTTATTCCTGCTGCCTTATTGTTTCATTAGCAAATCCCAATTTTTTTCAATTTTTACAAAAGGAATACTTTTAAGCGTTTTTTACCATAGTGCTTTTCTTCTTAAGCTGGCCGAAAGACTAGCATGTAATTTAAAATTATAAGCAATTATCTAAATGAACCACATGTCTTCCTCCACAACAAAATCCCCAAAAGGTAGAAGGAAGTTTCAGAGAGAGTGATCAGAAAATATGTTGAACATAAAGAAATATAGCAAGAATTATACTGTTTCAAACAACACATTCGATTCAACGTTTCCCCATTTTTGAAAATTCGGTCTGCCTGAGTTATGTCCGAGCATGATTGGAATTTGCGGAAGATTATATTTAGATTGCCTTACAATTCTTCATCAAATATTCATCACAAAGTTTCAAATTTGCCAAGTTGATTATAATGATTAATCAATATTATAAATTTACCAAGGTATTTATTTTAAAATTCCTGGTTATTTTTCAAATGTATCTTTTAGAAGTGCTAGATTTTCGCCTACCAATAAAATTTGACATAATTCTCTTCCACTGGCGTAATTGCAACATCAACACGCTAGGCTTCATCATCACCATCATCATCGTGATCATTTCAAAGGAAATCAGCTGAAAGACCTGAGGGTGGCTTGATGTCTTGTATGATGATTACGCCTTGACAATTATCAAACAACGATACAATGTGAAATTTTGTTCCCATGGTAAATGATTCTTTGTCCTAAACCTCGGTTTATCAAATGACATTGAAGCTAATGACAATGAACAATCGTGAAATAATGTCTCGGTTTAGTTCTTAGATCTGATCTTTTGGATTCGAGCTAGAATTTTGATTAGCGCTTAAGAGATGATCACCTCAGCGCTTTATTTCATAATTGACTTGGTGTAACTAATTCGCATATGATGAGGCAAAAACTTACTTTTTAAATTATGTCGACAGTAGAACTATAAAAGGGATTGGCTTCATGCGATATGGATGAGAATATCTTTATAAAACTACGAATCAAGCAAAACATTTTGCCCGAGAGGTGCATATCCACGAACATTGTCTAACACAGGTCAGTCACTATTGTCAACAGTCTATAAGCTCAACATTACAAGAAAGAGCACCAGAACCAAGAGCTTCACAACTAAAGGATGAAAGTCACCCGAGATAGGAATTGCTACTTTTTGATGTTCCTGTTCTGCCAAATATTACGCGTGTCTCTGCAATGTGGACCTGGGCCATCAGCATCACGCAGAAGCAAAAGGTTGAAGCCCATGACATTGTACCAACGGCTTCCCGATGTGGACGAAGATTCTATCAGCGGCAGTGGGATGTTCCGTAGAATAGTGACAGATGAAAGCAAAGAATACAAGGAATTGGTGAAAAATTACAACAAAGACATTGTGTTTGAAAGTGGTGAAGGAAAGAGGATTATGACGAAGGTTTGGTTAATTCTTTATCTGTTTACATTCACTCCTGAAAACAGATTTATAATTTTTTGATTGCATCTTCTTTATCTTGCTGATTTTTTATACAAGATGTTAGTCTTGATTTGTCTTTTATTGATAACGTTATGTAATTGACGTGGGGGATATGACTCATTTTACATAATACTTTTAAAATAAAATTTCCCTTCTGGCAGATGTTAACTTGAAGCAATATTCCGTTGGGTTTAAAAAACACCAAGTTATAATCACCATAGTCTTTATTGTTTTCTCATTTCTAAGTATCTATATTTTAGCCAATTCATATGATTATCAATTTTCTTGTGGATAATTTCTGGCAGCTATGAAGCCCTTTATAAGAAGAAGAAAATATTATTTTGGACGAAGTCTGCTAGAGCAGTGGATTTGTGAACCCATTTAAATCTAGATTACAAATTTCCTTTAAGAGTATCGAGGAGTTTTTTTTACGTTAAAGGGCCGTTTAATATGACGTTTTTGTTTCATCCTGACGTTTCATACTTCATATATTCTTCTTTCTCTAAATATAATAATTAAGCCCTACTTTTACTTCATTTGATAGATTTTGATTGCTATTTTTGTGGGCTCTAGGCTTTTAACAATGTTCATCTCCAGACTTGTTTCATCTTTAAAATTTAATGCCATTCACACGAGCCTCTAACAAAACTATACGTTAAACTATATGTTTTTTGCTCTTTTGTGTTTATTCATTGTTTTGTCATTTTTGCAACATTTCTCCATATTCAATACCTTTATTATACTAGCCTTTTGTACAATATCAAGCGAATAAGCAGAGGAATTTCTTTCAAATTAAAACAGTTTTGAAGCTGATTTTCTTTAAACGAACTTACATATATGTCTGTTTGTTTTTTCTTTGTCCCTGTACCCTTATTGTTCTTTGTCTAATATACAACCAAACCCTAGACAAAGTTATAAAGTGGTTATAGTTTCATGATGAAAAATGAAAACATTCTTTCTTTGCCAATTATCATTTCATTTTTCGTTTTAAATTATTTAAGGATGGTAGCTCTTCAGCAAATGCTGCTTTGCAAGGGGCTCTCTATTGATCTTACAATGTTGCATTTGAAAAACAAAGCTAATTCATAATTTTATCTAGAAGATATATAAAATAAATTTACAATATGTTTAGAAAGTGAAACGATATTTGTGTATATTTGTGCATGACTTCATACTTTAGTTATTTTAGTACCATTCTATATACCTGGTAGTTGCATCTGTATGCCAAGAAAATTATCATTATATGATTTGTGAATCAAACCATCAAATAAAGTTTTGATTTTGATATTGCAGTCAAGAATATTGCTATTAGAGAATCTAAAAGATACCAAAATTAGCAAACTTTTAAAAAGGTTCAGAAATTTTATCCTAGAAAAATGTTTGAGAATTAAAGTTCTAGTTTCAGCTAGTCTTAGAGCTATAAAATTTATTGCTAGTTTAAGAGCAGTTTTCAGTGAAGTTCAAATTTTGCATAAAGTTGAGAAACAAGTCCAGTGTTCTTCACTGTAAAGCACTCTCCTCCACACTGGATTGTTCTCTTCATGACCCTACCGAATACATTTGTTGACTGTCATGCCCTTTGAAATAGCTTTACAGTATTCCCTTTAAGGAAAGCATTTCATTTTCTGTGCATGTTTTTCCCATTGTATGAAACACTAACTAAAGCAACAATAAAAACTGTTCTCATTCCTCGTTTCAACTTCCCAGTGGTTTTCTAGCTATACGCCCTAAAAATTATTGTGGAAAAAGCACTTTGAAGTAATAATAAGATGCTATCTGTTTCCAAATGATGTATTGTCTAAGTTCTATTTGTTATCAACATATGGTGTATGTCATAGATTGAAATTTGATGCATTTACCGATTGCAATTGAGAAATTACTGTCTGATAATTCGAGACATCTCTGCTATTTATTTGGCTATCATTCAACCTTATTTTATATTTCACTTATTCAGAATCCTCTGCGGAGTCAGATAATAGACTATGGTCCAGTGAAAACCTACAGATTAAAATCCACCAGGCTGATATTTTACCAATTACGCACATTTGAGTTAAGAGCCAGAAACATTTCCCTGATGGTCGCATTAAGCATGAATCTCAAAGTAGCAGTTTCAGTATAAGAGCAATTTCAGCCTGTAGCAGAAAATCTTAAATTGTTTTATGTTGGTTTCTTTGAGTGTCTTTCTTTGATTAAAAGCTGGAGAAACATCATCAGCTGGAGAAGAAATGTAATTCATCTGAGATTTCAGCAGTGATTTCAGAGGTATCAATTTAGGGGTTGCAGAAGCCTGAGCTTCAGAAATATGTGATACTATGTGGTATTAAGAGATTCTTCTCCTTTGCATACAATGTTAGAGGCTGATGTAACAATAATGCTTTTGAAAGCACTCGTGATCAAATTCACTTCCAACAAATCATTAGGGTGTATTCCAGTCAACAATCCTTGCTGATCGTGTCTTCATCAGTTCAAAACATTAGCTACTCCGTGGCGTGGACTGCTCTTTGTGAAGAATCTTTGATCTTTGCTTCAATAATCTGCAAATCAAACTGTTACTTATAGGCTTCGTTCATGCGAATACAAATTAGGCTCCTTTAAAAGTTGTATCCTTGCCAGGCAATCGATCCTGCTCCATTTTCTATTTATCATACCTTTGATTGCTGTGTTCGTCGCTTTCTGAATTCTGCTTAAGTCAAGCAAAAATGAAAGACCCAATCTATTCTTACTAGCTTTTCATTTCCCGTTAAATAAAGGGATAATATTCAAAATTATTTGGATTAACCATAATTTTTGTGTATAATGTTCTGTATCACAGGTAGTACACGTAAGATCACACGTGTCGTAGGAACATAACAGAACATTCATCTAAGCCTGTTTATCCAGTATGGTTCTCTCTGACTAACGAAGTTAACTAAGTATTCTAATTTATGCAATGTTATTTTAATGTATGTATAAATCGCAACATTGCGTTTTGGAGGTGCGGAGAAGCAATTGCAAATTCTAGAGAAATTGCACATGCGGATCACGATTTTTATTTACTTATTTGCAGATAGGTCTTACTCCGTTTCGCTCTTAATAAAGAAAGAAATAAGTGTACTGCAATGCTTTGGTGTGATCTTCTTTAATTTGTTTTGTTGGCAGTATTTATTTTAATCATTTTCTTCTAAATTCCCTATCCCCCCCCCAGCTCCCTCTCTTGCTACCTATAACCGGGTCGAAAGGACTTCACGATAAAACCGTTAATCAGGCGATATATGTGGATGGCCCCATGTCCTTCTACATGTGTGTGCAGAGATGAACAAGCTTAAAAGCTTAAATAATGATTCGCCTCATTATAAAAACTATTTAGACTTCAAACGCTTTCCGCCTCTTGATGTCTTGATATCAGAGCGGTCTGCTTCCCAATTACCAATTGACCAAGATGTGCCGATTATATGAAATACAGTTTTAAATGCCTTTAAATTAGCCACATTCGAGTAAGAGGGTCAGCATACTTGAGGGTTATATCTCGTAAAAACCTGCACTGTCTACGGGTATCGTCAAAATGACTTGACATTTGTGTCATATTCATGGGCAAAGCCTATCATTTTGCGGTCTTAGAAATTGCTTTCAAAAAGGATGGTGTCAGCAGTTTCCTGTCGTCAATGATAGGCCCTAAGCTTTAAATTACGGAAAATATAATGGTTGGTGTGCATTTCTATTTTAAATTTTAGCGGGTTTGAGCGATGCAAACAGCCGAACTTGTTAAAAAATAACTTTCTAGGCCATCGAAATACTGGCTGCTGATAAAAAGACTTTCAGCCTCTCGAGAGTCTAACATTGCGTTGTCTGTCAAAGGAGATTGATAGATTCAAATCTATACAATATCACACATTCGTGTGCATAAATATGACTCTTTGGATGTTATTAGAAAATTCATAACATGCAAGTGGTTATAAAGGGCGCGATCGACGCAACAAAATACAAGTATGATCAATAGCGGGTTTAAGGGGGGTCCAAGGTCCATGGCCCCAGGCCCCGTGCTTATGGTAGCCAAAAGGGGCCCCACACCTAAGAAAAAAGATAGATATTGTGAAGGACAAGGACCCCGCAATCCCTAAAACCGCTTAGCATTATCCTCGCTCGCTTGGAAGTGATAATTCCTCTTTTTTATATTCCATATCAAAATTTAATTGAAAAAGTTAGCAGCCATTAAACATGAAACACAAGGACACAAAATATTTCTTATATTACTTCTTGTATTTAAATATTTATTATATCTCTTTTTTTTCTTATAGTCAATTGTTCAATTCTTAATTTCGTGACGGCTCGATGAGGATTTGATATTCATATAAGTCTGATCCTTTAGAATTTAAATTCGATCTTTAGAACCTATAATAATCTCGTTTTTTGTTTATGTTTTTCGAATTATTATGATATGATAATATGTTGATATGATAATAAGTCTTTATTTTACTAAATATTCCAGTTCACAATTAAGATAACATTATTGTATGGAAAAAACGTCAGAATTCCAGACGCGTAACCAAGTGATGTTTTAAATTTCATGAGTGCTGAAACAATGTAACCTTTATTCAGCAGCGTAGCAATGGTGGTAAGATTAGGGGGGGAGAGTGAAAGCGAGTTGAATGAGGGAAAATGGATTCACACCTTTTGGAACGTCAGAATTCGCCCCTTTTCGATGAGACTTTTTGCCATGTTGATGGGGCGTCCCTCTCTTGTCCCCCCCCCCCCTCACTATGCTACTGCCTATCTTTACAAACGTTTTAGTGGGAAAAGACATTGCACAGCACCTTTGTATCTCATAATAACTGCAGCCTTTCAATATAACCTTACTAAGTCATTAGATTTCGTTAGTGTTCTTTGCTTGCATTTTATACTAGATCTTCTATTGTGCAGTTGATCAGGTCTGCGACTAGCCATTCCCATCTCAAAGAGATCTCAGTCTTGACCAGCTACATATAGTCAGGACCAAGCACGTTACTTAAAGGGGCTGTGTCGCAAGAGATATATCACTTTGCGAAAGTTGTTTGGGTGAAACAACCTGCGTTCAAAAGGAAAACCAATATGGAATTAAACAGTTTTTTGTATCCGTGCTCATCGTGCATTTTTGGATGTTTTACGAAATGAAAAGAATATTAAAGGTATTTTCTTCAGTCTTACCACCATACTTCTTTGGATAAAAGATGGCGTTACAAAAAACAAAGGCAACTTTTACGGCTAGGATACAGCAACTCCCAAGGAGCAGTTTATAGAATAGAAATAGGAATGTTTAGGGGTAAATTATTTTTTAAGGACAGTTAATGGTGTATTCTAGAAACTCAAGTGAAATTGTTGACTCAGAACCAGTTGGCTTGAAAGGCTCGAGAACAGAGCGATTTTGTTTCTGTTGAAAACGCAGCTGGCATTGCGTTGGAAAGAAACTTTCTACAAATCTAAATAAGTTTAGCAGCTGCATATGCTTCGCATAACAAATCAGTACTATTTTCCAGTTTATTGTAAACGAGTCTTATTCCAGGTCCTTTCCTTTCTCTTCCATGTAAACGAGAAGAGAAGTGCGTTATATATAAGCCAAAATTAATGATACCAAATAGTTTCCTTTGTAGTGTAAACGGAGTCCAAATTTTATTGGGTACGCTACCCTTCTTTCCGAAAGGTGTGAAAGTTTGTCGGCGAAGCATCCCTACATGGCAAAAAAGATTTGCATTTGCAAAGAGTTTGCATTTGCATTTCCCAAGGGGGTGTCACCACCCGTGCACCGCACCGTAACGACAGCCCTGTTTATGTGGTTCTATTTATCAAAAACTAGATTTTCCAATATCCAATTATTGCAGGAAAACTTATCACATTTCTATATCCCCCTCCCTCTCTCCTACTTTCGTAACTTAAAATCAGTCATCAAATTGAAAATTTAAAGGCGAAGTTGCGTGTAGAATAACAGCTTAAGTGTTCATCAACAAAAAAACCAGTTCAGAGATTCATATCTTAAGCTTTCTAGCTATCTATAAGATAAATTTCTGTATTGTCTTAAGTTGGATCCGCATAAACACGGCAATTATAATGATATGCCAAGATACCTTATCAAGCCAGGTCTAAGCCACAGAAGATATAATTTCAATCAGGTATCTACGACCAAACATCCATTTCATTAGAGACGATTAGAAAAACATTCACTCATTCATTTCCCATATTCTGAGAATCTCGAAAGCCAATAGATAAAAACCCTCCAACACCATCTTGTTCTTGGATATTACTTAAGAGTTGTTCTATATCTATTTATCCTTAAAATGCCATTCCATCGTTTTCATCTTTATTGTTTCCCTTTATCTGTGGTATTTTCAGCTTCAAAATCATGAAGACGTTTGTCTTTGGGCATAACACATTTGGAAAAAGGACTAAGCGCTAGTATATCTGTGAAATGCTTATAAAGTATCAAAACAATTTTGCTTTTGTTTGCTCGTGAGTGGGATAGAGATGCCGGTGTCGTGGAAGAAACTAAACTTCACCCTTGAAACTAAATTCCAAATATGTGCATAAACGTCAAGAATTAGCCTTCCGAAAGTTGCTTGAAACGATTTAGATTCTGATCGAAGCTTTGTAAAAAGAATTTTAGATATTCATGACTCAATGGAGTTCTTAAGTGGTGACTTAATAAATATATCTATTAGGAATTTCTGAATTTGGACCACATGACCTGAAAAACCATTTTGAAATACCTATAAATGTGCAAATTCAGCAAATTTGTTACATATTGGTTGAGACATAAAAAGATGGGCACAACCTCTTTCTCTGTCCGCTTCCGTTCTCGAATCTGCGAACCAGGCTGTAAGCTAGGAAATACCAATAGTAGTTTACTGGCAAAACTCAGTTTTCCCACTTGCAAAACTTGGCCAATTTTCAACAATTTCAGCATGTTTTGTGGTTTAAGAGGTATTTCATGATATTCATGGTCTTTTAGAGTTATATTATATAAAACTCCCGACTGATTTGACTGGTGCAAAGAAATACTTACTCGTTTAGAAAAAACGCGCGCTTCTTAAGAGCAGCCCCGTTAGAAAACAGCTTACTTAACGTGCAAACTGGATTGGCCGATTACTCAGTACTCCCACTCCTAAAATCCTCTTATGATTCCTAATTACGATCTTACATTGTTGATGATTCATTCATGTGACTTTGAACTGGTAAGAAAAATCTGCTTCCTTCATTGATTGCCACACTATTTTCTGAAAATTTTTCTTTATTTTCTCTCCTATCACTAGGAGTCGTCAAAACAGCTTTTCCTCTTCGAACATCATCCATTAAGATAGATCATTTTGGAAAACGAATTAATTTCCCAATTGCATTCCGTATCCTAGTTCCGCAGGCTTAGAAATTATTTTTAAAGAGATCTACCAAGTCAATAGTTTGCGGTGATGTGTGTAGCTAATTGTAGTTAAAACTCTCTGTCTTTGCTTTTGCTTTCAACTTACAAACTACCATATGAAAAAGGCAAGAGGAGATGAACTGGGATGTGGCACTCATCAGATAAAGAAATCTCGATGTAATGAATTCTGTCCAGAATTTGAAAATTTGTTGTTTTGTTTTTATTGTTATAGGAGCTGATCTTTACTCCAGACTTCTAGTTTTAACTGAGGAACAGGCTTATATCTGTAGATTTTCCGAATTATATATAGCCTTAATATGCCTGCAAAGCGTGCACTAGCATTTTGGAGAGAGTAACAGCTCGTTGACTTTCCCACTAACAGTGTGTATCAATGACTATTTTGCTACATTTTTTTGTAAGGAAAGGCGTGCTCATATGGATGAGGTTGGTGTTAAAGAGGCTATAATAAAAATTAAGCTGAGTAGTTGTATAACCCGCATACTTATAGTAAAGTTATAATGTGAGAACCAATATAGGACTGGGTACAAGTACCCCAGTCTAAAAATACCTTTTAGGGGCGTTTTAAAAGCTTGATATGCATCCCACCGTTTTCAGCATTTCGAAGTGAGTATCTGTAGCTGTAGTGGTTGTATCATGAAATGCAGAATTCAACTGCTAAGCGACACCAATATTATTAGACGCCAGAATGGCAACTTTTTTAACAGAACAAAAAAATCCAACAGCCATAACATAACTTTTTGCTTTTAGATCAGATCACATTGCTGTTTTCGTATTTTTATTCATTTTTTGCAAGCTTTTTTTGAGGTTGTCATTTCCCGTATCCGGAACGTTGGTCATTTTGCCGAATGTTCACAGAGCAATCTGTCCCCTACTGTGCTTAACTTTATTTTCCCGGGAGTGAAATTCACGCATTTTTGAGATTGATCGATAATTAAACGACAACCAATCAGAAACAACTTTGATTCCAGAGCTTTTGAATCAAATGGCTGTGTTCCCGTTGAAGAAAACTGTTGCTAGAAAAAATTTGTTCCCTGTTCCCTGTTCCCTGTTCCCTGTTCCCTGTTCCCTGTTCCCTGTTCCCTGTTCCCTGTTCCCTGTTCCCTGTACCCTGTTCCCTGTTCCCTGTTCCCTGTTTGGTTTGTGCAACAGATATGTCAACAGCGAAAGGAAATGCTTCCATTATCATCATTTAATTCCAGTAATTAAATCTTCTTGCCATTTTCGATAGTTTTTGCTCGCAGTTTCAATTCGTTAAGGCGGGAAGACCAATTGTTAATTTTAGCCAATCACTAAAGGGACAGACTGCCTGTGGACATTACTTTTATGATCTAAACTTGAAAAATTCGGTTAGGCAGGTTGATAGATAGGTTCTATGCTGTAAAAAAGAAGTCGACGGCAGTATTGTATGAAGAATATAAATACTACAGAGGCACCATTTTTTTCGAAAAAAAGAGGCAAAAGGGATTGTTTTACGATAATTATTGGTTCCGTTGTTCATAGTGGATGTTAGTACAATTTTTCTTCGGATACAATCTTTTGATTGGATCCAAGCGTTCATTGTCATCACTACACTGTTGATAATGCATTCATGGCTCGAGCTTCCGATTTGTTTTTAACCTTATGTGCATTTTCAGCGTTGCCGTGAGAAGATTGACGTACTGGCAAAGCTTGTAAAACATCAATGGCCTAATGTAAAGTTACGAGTGATTGAAGCTTACGACAAATACGGACAACATCCACCAAATTCACTTCATTACGAGGCAAGAGCAGTAGATATCACGACATCAGACAGAGACAAATCAAAGATTGGTAGTCTTGGCGCGCTGGCATACCGAGCAGGCTTTGATTGGGTGTACTATGAGTCACATTCATATATTCATGCCTCCGTAGTCGCTGGTTCGTGAAATTTGTCTATAGAGTATCTTATTAACATAGCACTCAGATCTTGCAGGCTTAGCAAATATTAGACAATGAACTTCTTATGACGTAATTTCTTTGCTGTAATATTATTTCCTTCAAAACGAATGAGTTTATGTTCTTGATTCTCATTTTAATCATTCTACGTTGAAAGATGGAATAGATGTAAATGATTTTATGATGGTATAGATGGCTCAAAGATGGAATAGATGTAAATGATTTTATGCAAAATCAAATTGGATCATAAGGCCAGTACTGGACAGATAGTCTCTTCTTTGCTAATTGATTCAAAACATGACCCGTATTTTCAATAAGATTTCTTCTTGAGCAATCCTTTCTGGGCTAGACCCCTAAAGCCATAAACTTTATGAAAACTTGTAATTCTAATATCAAAAAGGAATACCAGAGGTATTTTATGCATAAAATTTTTTTCGTATTGAGAGTTACGCTAAAAGAATGGGTAAAAAATACACCTTTTTCATTTTTAGTGGGAAGCTAATATGTAGGGGGGCTACCTTCTAGGAAAAGATTTCAATGTTGGCAAACTTTAGATTCTATCAACAGATACAGTTTGATTTGATAATGGTATTTTTTGTTGGTTTACCAGTTTAAGCGAGCCCCCTGCCGTCAAGGATCATATTAAGCGAAACAGTATATTACTTAAAATGATATTTGCAAAACCTTTTTGCTGCAGCGATTCCCTTTTTTGGAAATTGAAGTTTGTTTAATTTCATTTCAGAGAATGAAGTGAGTCTAAAGCAAGCAGATTGCTTCCCTGGCTCATCAAAAGTAGAGACTTTGCAACGTGGTCAAGTCAGCCTCGAAGACTTACGAACTGGAGACGACGTGTTAACTTTTACGATTCTCAACGATCAATATATTCAAAAGTATACAAAAGTTTTAGGATTCCTAGATAAAGTAAAAGAAATACGTCAGAAGTATTACACGTTCGAAACAAGCAACGGGGCCAAATTCGCAGCGACAAAGTCACACCTGGTCTTCAAAGTGAAGGATGAGGTTCAACTTAACTGTACGGTGTATAACAACTTTGGAAACCAAAGACAGTCATCGAGGCCCAGCCAGGTTACAACTTCTTATTTTCACAAGAGTCTTGGGATATATCGATTTTTACAGTTTTCGGAAAGTGAAACATTGCAATTCCACCAACAGCCTTTGATTTATGATTCAGCAGAACAATTAAACAGGAAAGAAAATACTAAATTTGCAGGATTGTTGAGGATTGGAGAAAGTCTACTTACCAAAGACCAAAAAGCCGTTCGAAGAGACACTATACGCGTCATTTCTCAGAATATAATGCAAGGAGCATATGCACCGCTGACAGAAGAAGGAAGTTTAATTGTTGATGGAGTATGGGTATCGAGCTACGCAAAAATTCGCGATCCGCGAAAAGCTCATTATGCCTTTGCCCCATTTAGAACTTGGTGCAAATTTGCGCCGCTATGCACGTGGGAAGAACTGTTGAACTTGTATGTAGATGGTCTGAAATGGTTAAATAGAATATTAGGCATTGTTGATCTTTATTAAACTTAATCATTCCTGTAAAATGGGCTTAAAAAGTAGCATGTATTTGTCTCTAGACTTTGATAGAGAAACGTATTTAAATCCACTTAATAGAGGACAGTATTGGCACTGCAATGTGTAAAGATAGATTTAATTTTATATCGGACATTCCTTTGAACTAGTTTATGTCTCTTACTCTGCTCCTTACTGTCTTCACAAGTATCTTTGAAAAGAAAAAAATTGTTGAAAACTTCATGACATATTTATTGAGTTAAATTTCATACGCAAATAAGCCTCCAGAACAACTAAATTGGAATATAGCACGGAAAAGATGAAAAATAGCATACTTAAGTAATTTTTGTCTGACACTCGTTAGAGTACTAATATACGTCTTTCTGACTAAAGGTAAGATGGAAGTTATATCCAGGTGAGGATCGAATATAGGCGAGAGGAAGATTAACCCTTCTGATTGGTTCCTTATTGTCCACCAATCGGCGAGCGTTTGTAATAGGGTTATTTGGCAAACGAAAGTATCCACCCTATCGTGATCGTCGAGAATAAATGGTTCTTCCATCCATGAGAAAAGAAACAAATAGACACAATGATAATGTTTAAACGCCTTTCTTCAGATCAAACGATCTTTCCGCGAATAAGGTACTATAAATATAATGTTTCTCTACAGTTGTCCCGTAACGTCGATAACGTCGATGTCAGGCACAGTCTTTCTCAAGCACTGTCCTCTCAAACATATTAAATAATCCACAATAATCGTCACGCGCGATGCCATAATGACAATACCTATCCTATAAATCCATAGTTTATGCCGACAAGATCTTTTACAAGTATCTTGCCACATTTACAAAACGTCGAGAACCTAAATATACAAAATATAAAAACTTAACCTAATCGCTCTTAACCGAATTCCATTTCCAACTTCAACTCCAACTCCAACTCCAACGAATTCAAAAACTAACTCTAACTAATTGTAATGCTACATAGCTACGTAAATTTACAAAATGATAGTGAATACAAAATATATTACTCCCAAGATTAATTACATAAACTGAATAATGATACTAAAAATCCAAAAAGAAATAATTAATGAATCTAAAGGTGCAATCAGAAAACAGAAGGAATTATAAACAATCGAATGTGCAGATGGTGATAAAATTACTAAGGTTACAGGATGCAAAACAAACGATATCCAAACTAGCACTCTTACACGTTATAATATCACGTGGATGAAGAGCCTACTAGAGAAAAAGAGCTCTTTCTGTCTTCACAAGTCCGATTCTTTTGATTTCATTTAAAATTCTGGATGGTGCATTATCTAGTCTAGTTGCTTTCATAAGATCCTATGGCTCTTTCACTAAGAATGTATCTAAAGATAATGAAAGTTACTGTTTACCGGCCTGTATAGTACTAATGTGCTTAATGCAGGATAGGCAGAGCTGTACATGCATAAGCAAAGAAAACTTCGTTGCAACTATGAGTTTCAGGCTTAAAGTGATCATCAGACAGCTAGTGTATTTCTTACGATATATCCTTAGCCATATCAAATAATTTCCAAGTAACTAAAATCCTATACCATCAAAACTAAATTAAAACTACGCAAACTTTGGGCTGGTGACCAAATTTTTGTAGTAAAACATGGATTTCAAATTCATAATTGATAACAAGGATATAAAGCATGGATGTAAAAATCCTTTCACTTAAAGTCTTTGTCAGACCACTATAAGATTATGCAATTGATGAATTTCTTCTGATTACCTCTTTTCGATTTTTGTGTAAGGATATAAAGAAATGACATCGACCGTACTGCCTTATGGAATAACCCTGACGTCAGTACATAGTGGAGAGTGTCTAATGTACGTTCAATTATGCCCTACAACGGAAAAATTGGTCTGGTTGTCTTAGTAAATAGTCAACAGGTTAAAACTATGTTCACAAGATATATAAAACCTTTTTTTAAAATCTCATGGCAAAGTAAAAACTCTTGGCAATTTAACGATATTTAAAGACTTGGTATTATTCAACACAAAGCATTATATCATGTGAACTGGACAAAATTAAAAGAATCTTACAGCCAGTAAACTTAACCAGGAAAATTGGCCTATATCAGAAAACATTCTTATTGTCATCTGACATAGAAAAATAAGAATCCAGAACTAAATGCCAATCATTAAAATATACTGGATTAAATTTATTTAGATTCATCAATGGGTGTAATTGGTTTGTTTTCAGGAATTTTTTTGAAATCGGCTTGTCATTTTGTAAAGAGAAATGATAGGTTTACTGATTATTCTAGCAAACTAATTTCTTAAGTTGTGGAGATTTGTCAATAAAGAAAAAGCTCGGTTAAAAGGTAATGAACAGCTTTTATTGATCTGAACCTTTTCCACTCTTCTCATCTATTTTTTTAAAGTTTTGGTCTAAATAGATAATAAACTCAAAAGATAATGAATTGACATTATTTGTAACATACTAAAACAAGGTCTAATATTTATTAATTCATTCCTTTATTCATTCATTCAACTATTTACTCATTCGCTCAGTTATTCATTCAGTTATGCATTCATTCATTCATTCATTCATTCATTCATTCATTCATTCATTCATTCATTCATTCATTCATTCATTCATTCATTCATTCATTCATTCATTCATTCATTCATTCATTCATTGCAATTATTTTCAAGCTGATCTAACTTCTGTCGAGCCTAGACTTCGAACAAATGTCGAATGCCCTGTATGCTAATTGTTTATGAGGGAAACTTCGTTGTTTACAAGAGGATTTTCTACAAATCTTTTGACCAGCACACGACATACACTGGTAAGAAAGTGAGTTCCTTCCTTATTAAAAGTCAACTGATGGGCTGCGTGAAGCCTATTAACGCAGAAAGCATACCCTGTTTTGAAAACTGTATACTTGACGGTTACATATTCATCATATACATCTACATTATATACATCTGACATTTCGTCGCAGTCGAAAAACTTTATTAAATCAAAACAAAAATCTAACAAACTCGGTCTGAAAGGGCTATAAGTAACAAAACAGGGAAAAATCACGGTGATCAATATGCAGTGTGCCTTAGAGTTGGTTCACAAGACTCTTGCTTTGAGGCCAATCAACCACACTTCCTGGACGCTGGAGCAGTTTGAGCAACAATTTCTTTTGAAAACAAGTAATTACAGCTGGGTTCTGTAGAATCATTGCAAGGACAAGGAAAAAATATGCCTTTCAACCCACGAAATAGACAGGGAATTTTGTAGAAAAAACTAGCAAACTGCTTAACCTCAAATTTTATTTCACATTCTTACTAAATCAACCATGGATATTCCAAATCCAAGATGGGCCAAAAAAATTTATCACCGGAAGTTACTGTTTTTGATGACGTCATCACAAAAAATGATAAAAAATCTTTATAAATCAGCCAAGAATTTGACCTCAGCTTTTCTTGCATTTTTGCACTAAATTGCCATGGTCCTTATTGGTTACTCGGCGGAGGGTGTGCGGGGCCCTGTAAAAGATGAAAATAATTTGTGTGAAAAAGATTTTGGGAATTAGTTGGCTGACTCCAGTATTTTCTGCAGATATTCACTGCTTTTTTAACGTTGACGATCTAATATTTTTCTCATCAAGCCGTTAAGAAATGTTTTTCTCTGTATATCCTCTAAGTGCCATTTTTTTATTTACTTATCAAATGTATGTTCAAAATTAGAATATGTAAAGAAATTTTGTTCCTATAAACCAAACTAATAACACCTGTAGGCCAGATCATTCTTTCCATCGTATGTATAACCAAAGCTTGAAGGCAATTTCTCTTACTTTTGGTAATGTAAACAATAGTAAATGCGTGTGTCGAACAGTATGGATCTGATTGTAGAGCTTCTGATTACCTGTTTCTCATTGCTTTGTGAATTCTTACTCTTATCTGCACAAGTGTTTTGTCACATTTCCCTTTGTATGATTAATTTTGCATAAATTTGATCGCTTTCGCGAGAATGTCTTTGCAGATTTCCTGTCTCATCGTAACTCCCTCGAGCAATTATCCTTTCCAGAACACTTCTAAAGCTTTTTAAAATGTTAGCTTTCCTTACAACAAACATTACCGGTGTAGTTTCGCAGCCAATAACTGCGTAAATAGCCGGTAGATTTTTGGAACTATCTAAACCCAGGTAAGATACAACTTTCCAAAATTAACGTACTTCTCGTTGTCAATCTTTAAGGAATATTTCATTGAAGGCTTTTCACACAATAAGCAGAAAACTACATTAGTGTCCTTTCGACAACTAATAAATTTTTATCGATGAGGCAAGTATGGAATATCAAGTGGATGCCAGCCTCTTCATAGCTGCAATTAAGCAAGTATGTCGTGGAATCTTTTATTATCTTGAAGGTTTGTTGTAAAGCTCGTAAAGCCTTTGGATTATCTTGATCTTTGTAATGCAGAAAACTGCCAAGCATCACTAATAGCAACAAAAACCTTGAAATGGAATATAATATAGGTTTGGTGCGGGTATAACACTTTATCTCTGCGATAACCCATTGGAAAACTCGGTTACCACTTGATAGCTTGTCAAGAACATTTTGTATGATCTGATCTGGCTCTTATTGTATCAAACTTACTTTGTAAAGCTAGTTTACCAATAAAGACTAAACCTTCAAGATAATAAAAGATTCCACGACATACTTGCTTAATTGCAGCTACTAAGCTACTAAAATAGTCAGCATTTGTAAATATTAGCCATTTATACATACCTCAATATTTTTCCAGGTATCCTTCTAAGTTAAAATTTGATACTTTGATGTCAAAACATAGGCAGAATAAAATTGTTGCAAATATAGCAAAATTTGTAAGGGAAATTTTTAGATTTCGTAAAAGAATGCCAACACCTCCTGTAAAGTAACACAATTCCATTGTTGCAGTTTCTATCTGCTTGCTGCTGTTATGTTATGTTGTAATTTTACTCTTTCTATTCAGAAATTGAATTTTATTTTTTCGTACGTTTAAATGGGGCTCCGGTGGCATATGGAGTCCCATCAAGTTTCACGTACCTCTACTGGGGGTATGTGCTAATCATAGATATACTGGAGCCATGCCCCGGCTGGGGACATGAAATAAATATATTTTATGATGATGATGATGAGACACTTACAAGAAAAAACTCATAAAAGAGCAATCGAGCTAAGTTCCCCGGTTTAAAATTTAACGTTTAATTTGAACAAGACTGAAAAAGAAAAACAAATTTTATTCAACATATATAGGTACCAGTAAAAAGAAAAACAAGGAGAAACATCAAAGGGATGAAAAAGGTAGAGAAAAAGAAAAAAATAAAGAAGAAAGAGAGAAAAAGTGCCATCTAACTGCATAAAAAGGTCATAAATCTGACTATTGTGAGTAAAAAAGGTAGAGTTTGTAGTGACTCTACTTAGGCCATTTTCCACAACTTTCTACTCATCATCATCATTATCATTATTATTATCATCATCATCATCATCATCATCATCATCATCAATAAAATTAACTAAAGCACAAGTTAATACGTAAAGAAGCTCTTTACATCTAAATGACTAATTAGGGCTTTTTACTGAAAAAAGAAAAAATAATCAATTAACAGCAACAACAATTAACAGTACGAATATGATTAAGCGACAATTATTAAAATGTATGTAAATTTAGCCAAAAACAAGGAAAGAGAAGCAACAACTACAACAAAGAACTTAGTCTGCCTTACAGGAGGTGACCTGCATTTGTTATTGGTGCCTAAAAATTTCACCTTGTAAGTCTTGCAATATTGGTCCAGAGTCTTTTATTGTTGTCTGTTTTTGTCATTAATATTGATATCTTAGTACAGACGGGTATTTAACAAAATAGCTAGGAATACAATCATTTCTTATATGCCAAAAAGAAGGGCATTCCAAGAGTGTGTGGAACTCCCCAAGTCTAGATATTTTCTTCTCCATTGCATCATCATTACATCGTCTTAACACGTCCTTACTCAGCACATCTATTTTTAGCACTTCAATTTGAATAAAAGTATGTTTATTATGTAAGTAATTTAGTTCTGCTCGGATCAGAGATCTACAGTCAACATACTGTCTCTCTCACTTGCTCCGTGTTCTCTGCACGTAAAATAATACACCAATTTGACTTACGGCCTCATTTTGAAAAATTCTTCAAAATATTTTTGTATGAAATTTTTGACCGCAGATTCAGATTGAGAGCAATGATTTTAGTCTGATTGTAAGTTTTCATTATCATATTGCTCACGATATTGATTTTATGACGACACAAAGATAAAAATTTTATAAGGGATTTGACCGTGATTGGCGACTAGGGGGTAAAGGTTCCTTCGGAACGATTTTTGCGGTCAAATCCCTTACAAGTTTTCAAACTTCATTTCTCCGTAAAATCTAAAATACAAGCTGAAACGATATGAAAAATGGTATCCCGCCTAAAATTATGGCGATAAAACCAAATCTGAGCTTAAAAAAGTCGTATAATCAAGTTTGGATAAATTTCCAAAACGAGGTCGTAAGTCGAATTGGTGTATACTCAGAGAAACATCAACGATGAAAAGTTACAGAAAGCAGGATAGTAACCACGGCAATTCCTTTGATGTAATTTCGTTTCTATGATGGTGACAACGACATGACAAGCACCTCCATCGTTGGTTAATCCTTTTTCGCCTACAACACCAAAACTTCGGTGGCATCGAAGACATGAATATTCTCGTCTTGTATCAAACATTTCAATCATTATCTACCTGATCATCTACGTCAAAGTCGAGAGAATTGTAATTTTCAGCGTACTACTGCAAATCGCGAATTTTTTTTCATATTTGCGATTTTGGGAATGATACTCACATTACGTAGTGCTCTGTTAACTGGTGCCCAGATTCCCAGTTACAGAGTTGGTTGCAGTTGCTGCACCTTCGAGTCTCGAGAAGTATTTGTTGGGTGTTGTCTGTTTTCTTTGTAGCTTTTGCTAGCACAACTTCTGCAGTTATGAGACAGTCCTTCCAGTTCGAAGTGCTAAAAGAGCCAAGAGGGTTCATAAAGGTTATCCAGGTTGTAAGTAACTAAACAATACTTTCCTCCGCGCTTGTCCATTGACATTGCCTAACTAAACTAAGACCTTTGCTTTTAGGCCAATATGACTGCTCGTTACCTTTGTGCAAAATCGCCTGAAAATTCAAAGGAATAAGTAATTTATGTTTAAATACAAGAATTGATGTGCTCCCAGAAATACCGAAGATATTTTTAAGCAATAGAGAGTCCCTTCAATTAATCGTTTAATTTTTTTTCATTCTCAGAGGTTAAATTCATCTCCAATAGAGACATGTATTTGAAACATGTACCTATCTGCCAGACTGGAAACTTTGCTTCTTGCGCGGGCAAGTTTATTTTGAAAATTTGAGACTGCGCGCCTGAAATCATGCACTCTTAGTTATTTTTATTGTTAATAATGTTAAATCCTATTGTCAAGGGATCTAGGGGATTTTGCGCGGCCAATATGCAAAAGCGCGCAGAGGTGTGCGCGGGCAATATATTGCGGGCGCGCAGCAAAGTTTCCAGTCTGGCCTATCTGTCTTGTGTTGTTTCCTGTTTGTAGTTTTTAAAACCAAACCATTTCTTATGTTGAATTTATGCTCATCTAAAAGGATCCTTTTTTTAGTTTTGTTATGATGGGGTGGGAGTAATCTTTCATTTAATCTATTTAAATTTAATTTAGGGTAACATCAATCAAAGAAACCAGACTTGAAATTTCCCCTGCGGTGTTAAAATATTGCTGACACATTTCTACCAAACTGCAAAGTTTGGTTATCTCCCCAGAATAATAATTTTTCTTCATTTTATCGGCAATTTTTTCAAATTTAGATTAATTCACAATTTACAGCATCAATTTTGTGTGATTCCTATGCTTAACCTTGCCACAAGGCCAGGCCTACAAATGCTTGTTAAAATTAAAATCCTGCAGCTTTTAACCAGCTATTTTGTAACATTGATTGTTTGTATGCAAGTATAAGTGGCAGAAAAGAATTCCCTACACCCAAAAATACTTTGCAGTCTGACATTTTTTATACTGTAGTCTGCAATTTTGACCCTGCATTGCCAACCATGCAAGTATGTGTTCAAATGCCAGAGTCACACGTACTGTGTGACAAAATGGTACATTTATGGTTTTTATCTCATTTATATTGTTTGGCTCGACCACTGAACTGAATTGAATATATATATACATTATCTAATTTTTGTTGTGCAAATTTCCTGTCAATTTTTTTCAGATAACACAAATAGCTTATTCTATTACTTGCTTACCAGCACAATTATATATATCAAAGTTTCTAAATTGGCAAAGAAATATGCTAACCTTAAAGTAGTGATGCCTGGACCTGATCCAACTTACCAGACTAAAATATTGTGCTGCTTACAGAGGTGCCTAAATGTTTTCAGGTAGTCCTTCTACTCTTTTTGAAAAATATTTGTTTCACTTCTAAATTTAGATATTCACTATAAAGCTTCTTTTCTGATTTATCTTTCAGTTTGTTGCCATTTTTGCATTTGCCACTTGCACTGATTTTAGAGGTGAGTTGCAGTTGAAACAAGTCTGCAATGGAACAATGACACATGATACTGGAGCCAAATTCAAATATCCCTTTAACACACGTCTCCAGTTTAATGTGCACAGATGTCGTGATTGGGCATTATTTCCATATATGCGTGATCTGAGTTACCGATCCTCCATGGAATACTTTGTCGTCATTGGGGTCTTCTGTTTCCTGTACTCACTGGGTATCTTAGTATACTATATTGTATTTGAGGAAGATCAAGCTTCTTCAGCTGCTCCACCAGCAAAGTTTTCACCACCAGTTATTGTAAGTTGATACTTCTTCTTTATGTTTTTGTTGAGTATCTATATATGTATATGTATACATGTATATACTTCAAAAGCTCTTGCAGCAAGTGTAATAAGAATGATATATATAGATTTAAAAAAAACACTATTCTGATAACTGTCAAGTAACAAATGATGAAGACTCTATAGATATATATATGTATATAATTATATTTGTTCTCAATAGTTCTAGACTATAATACTTTGGTACCAATCGCACAGAAAAGCTATAACATCAATAGTACTAATTTTACCACTTTTCTGTGCAATTTAAACTGAAAGTTATGAATCATGCTCCTTGATGAAAATTTTCGCTTCAAGGTAGCGATCAGCCAAGCACCAACTAAAATTTTAGGGAGGGGCCTGCTAAACAGTGTGCAAGTGCTACCCACAAACTGTGCACACACCACAGGCTTTACATTCCATTGCATACACAACATTTGAGGAACTCAAGTGAATTTAAAATTGATCTTATATTCCTTATCTGTTATATGGAAAGTAAGTGATCACTGTCACACATAACATATCTCAATGTCAAGTTTCAATGTGCCACATTCATACAGCCCTTATTATATGTTGTCCCTGCTCCCTCAATATAAGTTTAGCACTATCTAGTAAATTTTTAAGATTCTAACAAATCTTAATAATATCAAAGGTTGCTGAGGAAACACCTTCCTATGCCCTTCTGTTACTTTCAGCGAATGGAGTCTGCTGGCAGAGAGTTTTTTAATCTAATATTATATATAATCAAGTAGGTGTTGAACGGGTGAGAGATTTGATGGCTTCCTAAATTTGATGTTTTGAATATTTAATCATGATTAAAAAAAATCAAAGAATCTCTTTAATAAAATGTTTCCCATGCACCAAGTGTACATCAGTCATCATCATTTTCCAATGCTGTTGTTTTTTGAAACAATAAAAAATCATGAGATTCTAGATTAATTAGGCATGTGAGGTTTGCTAATCAACGCATAACTCTATAATCCTGCTTGATACACAGCCACATATTTTGTATAGCAAAATGCTATATGAAGAAATTCCTTTTTCCTTTAGTTAGTAAACTGCTTTTCATTGCCTGTGGCTGCAAAATGATATTACTCATATCAATAGAACTACAGTTTCGTAAATTTTTTACTGGCCATGCCATATGGGAAGTTGACACAGCTTCAAAGGAAGTTATAGTTATAAAAATATTACCAATTGCACCCTGTTTTAATGAAAAGAATTTGCTATTGTGGAAATTGAGGTGATCTTTTCTATTCAATTATCTAATCTATATGATAAATTTTTCAAATGATGAGCAAATCTGTCAGATTTCTACACTATTAAAGTCAATGATACATTGGTCTAACGCTTTCCTGGCTCTTTCCTTGCTGCTTGGTGCCAGGTGTGCATTTGCTCATCAATACTACAGATACCACTATCAGAAAGATTACACGTTTCAACCATCTATTGAATGTAATGGCTGACCATTGGTGATGCATTCTCTACTAATTCTTAAAACTTACTTTTGGATGCTTTGATGTGAAAAAATAATTATTACTGTCAGCACAAGCATCAAAGCAAAACTAATCTCTTAGGAAATAACTTTATGTGTAGTCAATAAATGATAAAACACTTTTGGTGAAATGCACTTGAACGGCATATGTCGCATTAGCAGTTGGCTGATAAAACAAAAGCATATGGAGTGGACTTTCATTGTTTCATGACTTTTCATTTCCTCTTAATTAATATTTACTGTTGTAAAAATTCACCCTCACTTCCATACTTTTTACTAAACAATAGAGATAATTGTGGTGCATTAGCCATTCATTTTCACGACGCATGCCCTTTAAAATATAATGGCAATACGTAATCAATGGAATATTACAAAGCGGATTTTTCTTTTTTTTTCTTTGATAATTACAGTTTATGCAGATCTGTTTTTGGAATTGAAATGAGATGTCTTGGAGTTTAATCCAAAAGAAACTCTGTAGCCTTTTCTTTTTTCACTTTGCTGTTCAAACTTCTTTAACACATTATTTTTTTCTTAGTTCACCCTGAAACTTTGTTCTGACACTGTCTTCCCCCTTCAGTGAAAGGCAGTTCCTAATCAGTTTTAGTCTTTGCTCTATCTGATAACTTTCATGAACACAATGAATGTTTACTAATGAAAGATTCCCATTAGTACCCACTTCATCTAATTAGGTGAACAATACATCTAAAATTTATTACTTAAATATTTTTTTCGAAAACATTGAAATATTTATTGTCTCCTCTTGCTCTAGGATTTTGTCATCAGTGTGGTCTTTGTAGTTTTTTGGTTTACTGGTGCAATCGCTTGTGCTGCCGCTGTTACTGGCATTAAGAGTGCAACTAACATGGATACTATCATCAAGAACATAAATTTATGCACCAAGTCCTCAATTAACAATGTACTGTGTACTGCAACAAAGCAAGCAAATTATGCAACATTGGATATATCTGCTGTAAGTACCTTCGCTTTGGCGTATTTGACCTTTAAAATCTCCCTTACTTTCTGCTCAATTTTTATTTAAGCTTTATTCTTTATTAACAATACTCTTAACCATGCTTATATACATTTATTTTTTTATTCATTTATCTATCAATTGAATAATTTATTGCTTTATTCATTTATTGATGTATTTATCTATATATTGATCTATTTATTTATTTATTTATTTATTTATTTATTTATTTATTTTTTTAATTATTTATTTTAAATGCAAATTTCAGCTAAAGTGACAAAAAGTGAGATGATCTATGTTGTGTACATTTTCTTACAAGAAAGGTTTCCTTTGGTTTCAATTTATAGGGTCTGGGTTATATTTTTAAACTAAACATAGCTTGCTGTCTTGGTGTTTGTGGGATAATATTGGAATCTGCAGAGAAAGGTTATGCATGGAAATAACAGAATGATGATCATGAAAAAGGGAATGTTTTCAAAGTTCTTTATTATGTTGCTGAATAGTTTTAAAATCATGCCTAAATGCCATCAAATGTTTCAAATAAGACTCAGCACTGTAGTACATAACTTTCTACCTAGTGTGGGGTACAGAATTTTCAAACAATATTATGCTTTGATTTTAATAAAAACACAGCTTTGTAACATTAAAAAATATTGAATACTAAAATTGTGTATTCTTAATGTCCAAATTGGAAAGTAGCCTTAATGTTGAATGATACCAAGCAGAAAATTTGTTTGAGGTTCACTTACATCATATTACACGCTTAGACCTACAGTTTCTCTCACCCAGACCTAAGTCAATTAAGGAATGTGGCTATGCCTGAATTACAGTTGATATTTCATCGCTTCTTAGCATTTTGTACAGTTGTGGAACTTAGGCTTTTGTAGTAGATCTTCCTCTTCCCCTTGAATCCAAAGAGGCCCTTTTAACTTTTGTTTTTCACTTCTTATCAGAACTTGTTGTCCCATCCACAGAATCTTATTCCATATCCATGCAAGATCTGTCTTTTAAATTTCTTAGTTATAAATAACCATTTTCTACCATTCAAAGCTAAACACTTCTCCAATGCACATGATAATCTAAATGTTACTTTGACTGGATTCATCCCAGCCGCTACCATAAATCCAACCACATTGTCCCATGAGGATAGTTCACCCCCAGCCCCTAGTGAATCATTTTTAACAAAGATTTTTCTGCTGAAGTTTTATGTCATAGAGTGAGGTTTCTATGTTTATTATTTGATTGATGTTTTATCAGTAATAAAAATATTTAATGAATAGAGTTTGATATATTCAGAGCGTGATTTCAAAAAGAAAATGAGAACAAGCTTTGAATAAAGTTCAGCATAACAATGGTCTCTGATTATCAACTAGAATTGGTCATAGGCTACAACACAGGCTGGAAAAGTGGGGGAGGGGCCCTAGGAAAACTTTATGACTTATAGCAAAAGATTTTGAAAAAACTCCATTATTTTGCAAAAAATGGAGAGGTAATGCCCCCTGCCCCCTGTCCCCCTGTCCCTGTGCCCCCCTTCGTTGGAGGCCCTGTTTGTGAGTTGCTATATTGCTCGCATATTTTGCTTTTAACTCTATTTCACTACTCCCTTGAAAAGTGATTTTTAGAGGATTAATAGGACCAAAATGGAAAGCTGATGATCATACTTTCATGACAATTTTATCTCTTAGTGTGGTTGTGTTACAGACCAAAATTTATCATCTGTTATCTCACATTGTTCCTACTTCTATCAGCGGTATAGTTAATGTATGCAGCAACACTGCCATTGATTTTTTATTGTTGGGTTCTTCAGAATATATATGCTTACTTCTTTGTTGTTATAAAGAAAATACTAAAGATGTTTTGAGATTTCAGGCCTTTTTAGTTTTTAAGATGGCAAATGAGATCTTGCCTTGCTGTGATTGAGACCACTGTCTCTGCTTGACTGCTAATGTATTTTAATTTACCAAAAAAAGAGTCAATCTATTATATCCCATTTTTAATGGATATGTTCCACGTGGGCCAAAAAGAGATTCCATAGCACTTTAGACACTCCCTATTTTTAAGTCATCTTGAAGCGAAATGGTTTGCTTTTTCACATAAACAATGCTTATGATTGTGAGAGATAGTTTTTTCCATCATTCAAGTGATAAACTACTATAATCTACAACCTTTCAGTGCTAATATATCCTTTATAGGTGATGGGGTTCTTGAATATCTTTGTATGGTGTGGCAACCTTTGGTTCTTGTACAAAGAGACACCATGGCATAACCCACAAAAAACGACTGCTGCAACAGTTTCAGGCCCTGGAGGGCCACCACCTTCAGTTCAAGCTCCAGCTGCTGCCATTTGAAGATTTGCTCATTTGATATAAAGCTTTCCAAGAACTACTTTCTTCTGCAGACAAATAAATTGACATTTGACTGGTATAGCAAGTCGAGGACTTCTTGTCTCAACTTACTTGTCTTCCTTAATGTAACCATCCCCTCTCTAGCCTCCAAACACAATTATTCTAGGACCACTTGTACTTTAAGTTACCCTTAAACTCTAAGTTCCCTTCAAACTTATGACATTTCCATCTTATTTTGTTGTTGTATGTATCAAGCGTTTTGTCTTCAACACACTATAACTGACTCAAGTTTATTGCACATGATCTACCATCTATTTTGAATACTTCTACTTGTCCCATCTGGTTTTACTTGCTGCATGTTGAAGTCAAATGCCGTTTAATTTTGTAAATGCTTTCATATACAATTAGCTGGTATGTGGACATTTTGATAGCTGCATATTTGTGTTAAAGCGTAGACAAGCCGGTTCAAGTTGTTTGCGAAAATGGAAATCTAGTTGCATGCAAAATCATTTTCTTTAGCTTGGTTTGTCTTGAATGTAGATCAGAGCTCTGTGCTGGATGGTTTTTTTAATCAGCCAACAACCCTGTGCCAACACACCTCTTGTCGAGCTATTTAAGGGTACTATTCCATGGGTCCAGATTGTTGCATTTCCATCTGGAAGTCAATTTCTACAATCTTATCAAAAATGTCGAGGACACACCATCAGCAATTTTCATCAATACAAATACAAGAAAAGCGAGTGACTGTTGGGTGAAATAAAGAACAATTCAATTGAACTAGTTTTTTCCTTTGCGAATGTAAACTGGAGATCTGGGTACAGGCTATTAAGGCCGGTTTCCACTTTAGCGAATTCTTCAACGAATTCCCTGAGAGTGTTTCCGTTAAGAGGAAAGCTGTGTTTCGCTGAGAAGTTGGTTTCAAATTTCGCTAGTGAATTCGCCAACGCCCGGAAAGAACAAAATATCTTCCAATCGCTGGCGAATTCGATGAAACTTTCGCGCAAATGGAAACCGGCCTTTAAGGCGTTTTTGAAAAATATCACGATCAGCGTCTGTTTTTCCTATCGGCACGCGGTACTGATTGGACAACTAAACCGGTCATGTGCTCGCGTTATGTCCACGACTGGGTATATATTTACCCTGTTCTTTCGGAACCTTATTCTGACGTTTTATGCTCTGAGGAGTGTCAGACGAAAAAGCTCTAAGTATGTTAGGATATCTTTGCTTTTTTCAAAGCCATTTTCAAATTTTTTACCGCTAAAAAGTTGTTTTGGCTATTTCCTTACCCTCTCGAAAGTCCAATTTAACGGGATTCAACTGTATTTTACTTGCTATTTTTGTCTTATATATATATATAACGGGAACATCATCACCATTATCGTGAACAGCTCCATGATAATCACCACGCCTTTGCCGTTATCACAACAGGCATCATGATATTCGTCGTCATCAGACATTTTCACAATTATTTTCTTTACTATTATCATCAATCACCATGACCATCCTTATTATTATTCTCGTCCTTAACATGATCGCAACCATCATCATAAAATTGATAGAGGTCGATAATGCTGATGATAATAATCTTCATGATGATGCTAAGTCGAAAATAATGATATTGATAATTGTGAAAACTAATGACGAACATGGTGGTAACGACGATTGATGAAGATGATACTGGTAAAAATGATTGATTCGGCCTAACATTATCGAATTTTTAAGTGTGACGTCATAAAAATATATTTTTTTAAATTTCGAAATTTTTACCACATAACCAGGCACCGCAGAGCAGGGGGGCTGGGGGAGGCTTTTTGCAAAAAGTGCCAAATATTAGGTATCAAACTACCAGAAAAGCCTCTTTATACGGTTTTAGCCCTCCCCCCATTTTTAGACCCCCCCCCACCCACTTTTCTCAACGCTCAGCGGTGCCTGATACCCTAAAAGTGAAATTAAACAGATGTTTACGTTGCGAGGTATTTCATGATGCTCTTTAAGACTATGAGATCCAAATTTTAAAAATTCTAAACACATTTTGTGACGTCACCGCTTAACAACATTATTGCTATCATCATTACTGTTAAGTGCCATCTTCATCTTTTTAGAGTGTCACTTTCACGCTTTTTCAACGCCATATTGCCATGCACTGCCTTATCATCTCTCTTATTCCCACCACCTTTTCCGAGCCATTTGAAATCTTCCTAATGTTCAATTTTATTCTTGTTATGGAGATGTTGCTAATTGAAATACCTTTTATACTTTCAAGGGATATCAAGGGTTTTGGCTTTTTTGTTTAGAGTCGTTGTATGACTCTATGCAACCACTTAAACTTTGCCTACCTCTTGAAAGTTTATTTCTATTAGTAAGTTGCCTTCGACTTGAACCTACATCGAGAGCGTTTTAATATTCCATATAAAAATTTTGCATGTACACATGGTAGTTTTCCTCAAGTCACCTGTTTTGACCCATCATTTGATCCTTTCAATTGCATTCTGCTTGTCTACGAAAAACGCATCTTCTGTGTGATAAATTGTATGTACAATGCTCTACAAAAGGATTCATTTTGGCTGTGTTTTTAATATTTATTTCCAATCAGGCTATGCATTTGAAATTTACTTTAATCGATTTGCGCTTACACTAGAGCCCAAATGTTTGATCAGCTGTTTTGAATAGAAGCAATTCATTTTTTTCATGGCATATACTTATTTTTCGCACATCATTTTTAGATCAGCTCAATTTTAGAAGTTTGATGAAAAATTATGAGCTATAATTTATTGATTGTAAAATGCGAATAATATATTGCCACCGTGCCATCTTGATTTTAAGAAACTTCCCAGGTGTTTGTTCTTCAACTATGTATTTTCCAAACACCGTAATTCCTCAAATTGCCCCCTCAAAAAGCCCCCTCTCCTCTCCCCAACCTAGAACTACAAATTGTCAATAGTCTCCCCTCAAATAAGCCCTCACTGTTACCATAAATCCTCGAAGTAGCCCCCTCTCGATTTGTTGATTCTTGCCATCTAAGATCTCCTTTGACATTTTATTGAATTACTACAAAGATTCATACTTTTGGTAATAATCAATTAAATTTTCGTGAAGAAATTCCTACTAAAATATACGAGGTCCTTTATTGATATCCTCTCAATGTCTACTATAATTTTATAAGCCCACCCTCGTATAAGCCCCCATTCGAATAACCCCCACTCCAAAAGTGCTAATACGAGGATTTTCGGTATCAAAGTATGAAGACAGCTGAATTCTGTTAATTTTGACTTTCAAAAGGGGGGGGGGTAAGGGAATGGTCCGACTTTTTCAGTATACAACTTTTCACATGCGTAAAGTAAGAAAATCAATTGAAAATTCAGTCAAACATAGTGGAAGTCCGAGTCGCCCCTTGTATGACTTAGCGGGATTCAGCTCTATTCCAAACAACAAACATGGTCAAATTTTTTGCTTAGCGTTCAACGAAACACCAAACAAATGAATTGTTTAACACGCGTCTCACTTATACCGTTACAAAGAATTGTTACGCTTCTCTAATTTTGCGCATTGCCGAAGCAGCAAAGGGCCGCTTGTATCATATGTACACGCCTACCTTGGTGGGCCAGTTGGCCTGAGTAAGATCTGCGCTGTTTAAAATTTCTTCATAATTGTCCATTTTGGGTTTACATGTCCAATCTTGCATTTGAGAGCCGTGAGAGTGGGCTAGTCCACCGCGAAGATAACAGAGCAGAAAAGTTATATTTGTTATCTTTTAGGAAAGCTTATTCTGTTAATTGTGGTGGCAGAATTGGAAAAGTTTTTGTTTCATTTACAAGTTCAGAAAGGGACAAGCCTACCTGGATGAGATAAATCGCGTTCTTATGCGAAAACGATCACATCCGTTTTAACCACCCTTTCAGATCGACTGGCCATCTTTATTTTAACAGGCCCGAAACTCTGACCATTTATTGAACCAGCCAACGCAACATCTTGAGCCACATTTTTCTGCGTGTTTGAAACGGCCTGCTTCAATGGATTATTTTCCTTGACCTTGGCATTTTTTACGGAGAAGCAAGCAAAAGCGAGAAACCCAAGGGATGGTTCTTGTAGCACGAACCAAAGTTGCTCACGAGCCTCAAAAGAACTACGAAAAGTCTCTGTCCTGTTCTGCGGATGATGAATGAGCAAGGAAATTCGGACAAAAAATCTGAAACACCCACTCCACCTCCTCTACTTTCTTCCTTCGCCAGTAGAGTTCAAAAAGAGACTGACCTCATTGCGGAACAAATGAATAATAACTTGAGTGAATTCTCTTTCTTTAAAGTTTCTCAACAAAATCCTGCAGAACCATTCCATTTTTCTTATGGTTCCTAATGAAAGTAAAAACAAACGATAGTTGTGTCGATAAGAATCTGTATTGAGGTCAACAAATATTTAATTATTTTCATTGGTGCGTATGTACATGTTGATATCAAATAACACGTTTCAATATTAAAAAACAACAGTTAGAATAGTTATACAGTTTTCTATGCATGAAAGACAGATTATTTTTCATGAAAGCCTCAATGGAATTGTCTTTTAGAAGAGCCTCCAGTCATAATTCTGCAACATAGCATTCAAAACTAACTCTATTACAAACACAACAATAAAAAAAGAAATTTTAACTTAAAAAATCTTTACATGTTGTTTAAAAGGTGATTGTTATGGAAGGGCTGTTTGGGCTGAAAAAGAACTGGACAAATGCATTCAACAGAATGAAATGTTTTAACCTGATCAATGAACTTTGGAGCTTTTGAAAGTTTGGGAGATTCATCAACAGCATATTAGCCGAGGGGCATTTCCCTGAAAAGGAAAAAGCGTCCTGGGGTTCCTAGCACAGATAGTGCTTCAGAAATATGTTTTCAGAGTAAAACACATTTTTATCCAATCTAGTTGATCAAGGGAACAGGTCTACTCTCTTTAGACCTGCAAACGGGATGCAAAATTTTTAAAAGCAACCTATTTATGTTCTGATACGTGTTTTCGAGTAACAAATTATAGGTTCTTTTATCGAGAAAAGTACCAACTGTCTGGCTTGTTATTTTATCAAACTCTATAATCTGAAGGATAACTGCTTTGCAGGAAAGCTGACACACATCATCTTCTTTGTCGAACACTATCTTCAGGAAGTTCATTCCTCGTATTGAACTCGGCCTCTTTGTCAATCTGCGTCTGCTGGTATTCTATTGCCTTTTGAGCTTGCCATCTTTTATGAAGACGCCGACAAGCTGATGAAAAAAATTTAATTTTGAGTTACCGTTCATGTTGTGCAAGGACATT